CTGGCTGGCCTTGAACTCACAGAGATCCGCCTGTTTCTGCCTCCCAAGTGCTGCGACTCCAGGCATGGGCCACCACACCCGGCTCATAATTGTTCTTTTGAGTTCCATGTCCTGCATTATCTCTAGGGGGTTCTCACTGTACTCCTCTAGAGGACTATTGGTATTTGGTAAGGATATGTTATTTTGGTTTTTCATGTTATTATTCTTTCTCTGTGATTTTTGACATGTAAATTTCTTTTGTAGTTTCTGATTCTTGTGTGACACTCAAGCCTTCAAGTTTAGGTCTGCTTCTTTATGTGTTTGTGGTTTACTTTTTGGGCATGAAAAGCTGGTTCGTCTAAGCTTCCGGTTCTCTCTTTTGATTTTATATTGGAGTGGCCAGATTGCTTTTGTCTTCAGGAGTTCCCACAGAGGCCCAAGTCAGATGAGGATCAGATGCTCTCAAGCTTCCTGCTAAGGTCGGATCCCTCCAGGAAAAATTTTGGCCTCAGGAATTTGGGGGTTGAACTGGCCTGGGAGCCCGGCCCAGGAAAAGATGCTGGTCTAGGGCAGCTCATGGCTGTGCCACCCAGAGATGCAAAGGCAGATGGGGGCAGGAAGCGGCCCCAAGGACTCCTGGGGACTGCACTGAGGAGCTGGGTTGGTCTGGATGCAAAGGATCAGGAAGAGGAAAAGTCAGCCCCAGCGGTCAGGAAAGAAGCTGGTGGGTTTGCAGGCCCAGGGAAGTAGAGTGAGGTGAGGGTGGGGCCAGGTCTAGAGTGGTCCTGGGGACCTAAGAAGGAACTGAGTTTGTCTGGATGCAAAGGATCAGGAAGCAGTGGTGGGCCCCCCAGTGTCTGGGACACCAAGATAAGGAATGCGGCAGGACCCAGGCTAGGAGGAGAGACAGGTGGGAGAGATGGGCGGATGAATGAGGCTGGGGGACTCAAGGCATGGAGGGCATGATCGACTTATCCCGGAGAGAGAGTCCTGTGGTTTGGAGAGAGACCTGCTGGTTGCCAAACTCCTTTTTAAAAAAAAATTATTATGTGTATGTGTGTATTGCCTGCATATAGGTAAGTGCACCAGTGTCGTGCAGTGCTTGCAGACAACAGAAGAGACTGTCGGATCCCCTGGAACTGGAGTTATGGACAGTTGTTAGCTGCCATGTGGGTGTTGGGTTTTGAACCCTGGTCTTTTGCAAGAACAAACAGTGTTCTTAACCGCTGAGCCATCTCTCCAGCCCCATGCTAATAAACTCCTTTTTATCATGTTGCTGGTATATTAGTATAAAATGTATCATACCAAAGATAGTGAGATGGTTTAGGAGGTAAAGGTGCTTGCCACAAACACCTGGTAACCTGATTTTGATCTACAGAACCCACATAAAGGTAAAAGGGAGAGAATCAACTCTACAAAGTTGTCCGCTGCTCACTGCCCACATGCCCGCTTACACATGCACTCACATCATGCATTTATAAACACAGCAATGAAGAAAAAAATTAAACCTAATAAAAATGAAATATATTGAGCTGGAAAGGTGGCTCAGGAATTAAGACCACTGGCTGCTCTTGCAGAGGACCAGGGTTCAGTTCCCAGTACCTACATGGAGGCTAACAATCATTCCTAACTCCAGTTCCAGGGGCACACGCACACACAAAGGGGAGGAAGTTGGGGAGAGGAAGCTTTAAGCTTTATGGCGCTACAATACACATTTGATAGCTTTCATGTCAAATGACTAAAAAGTATGTCCAAGGATGAATAACACTGGCATAGGAAATTATTAGAAATACAATTCTAGGACTAGAGAGCTGGCACAGTTGTTAATGACTCAGGCTTACAACCAAAAAGGCAAAAAATACAAATCTAAAGTCCTAGCACAGATCTACAGAGTCAGGATCAAGAGATTCACGTACACATTAAAAAGTTTAAGATGTGGCCAGGGGTGGAGAGATAGCTCGGTGCTTAAAAACATTTACTGCTTGTCCTAGTTTGTTTCTTCATTGCTGTGACAAAATACTCTGACCACTACCAACTTGGGGAGGAACGGGTTTATTCAAGCTTACAACTCCCGGTCACAGTTCATCAGGGAGCCCAAGGTAGGAACTCAGGGCAGGAACCTGGAGGCAGGAGCTGGAGCACAGGCCATGGAGGAACGCTGCTTACTGGCTTGCTCCCTTGGCCCCTGCTCAGTCTGCTTTCTTATGCAACACAGGCCCACCTGCCCAGGGGTGGCACCACCCACAGTGGGCTGGGTCCTCCCACATCACTCATCAAGAAGATGCCCTTCAGACATGGCCACAGGCCAGTCCAATAGAAGCAATTCCCAGATTGAGGCTCCCTCAACCCAGGTGTGTCAAGCTGACACGAAAGCTATCCAGCACACTGCTCTTGTAGAGGACACAGGTTGGGTTCCCAGAACCCATATGAAGTGGCTCACAACTGCCTCTAACTCCAGTTCAGGGGATCTGAGGCCTTTGGGCCTCTGCAGGGACCTGCACACATGTGGTGCACATAAACTCATGCAGGCACAAACACATACACTTAAATAATTTTTTTTTGAAAAAATCATAATCCAATGAGAAAAAAAATTAGAACGGAACAAATGGTGGGGGAGTGACAAGATGAAAAACACAAAAGGTCAGTAACTTGACTCTTGTTAGAGAATGCCATGTTTACAAAATAGAGTAAAAACAACGAGGCCTGATAGGCTCTTTCAGTGACCTCTCCTGGTTAATCATGACAGGCATCCATAAAATAAGGAATATTCAGATGTTCTAGGTCAGATTCAAGGCACCTTACAGGTTACTGTATCTTCCCTTCAATCTTAAATGTAAGTATAATACTACCATTATAGAGCTAAAAAAACTACACTCATGGGTTCAATGATTTACCAAGAACATGTAGCTAATAATCATGACAGTGACTGGCTGGCACCAATGCCCTGGCTCTACTTTACTACACTGTTTCTCAGAAGGTGAATATCATACTCTAATTCTTACAGAGAAGGCAAAGGGACAACGAGACAAACAGCCTGGTATATGTGATTCCCAGAAAGAAAGAAAAATGAATAAAATACAGAGAAAAACATACGTAAGAATTAATTTTTGTAAAACAAAGGATAATTACAATAGTGAAAATATTTAGCACATGGAATAGGGAACATGCCCTGAAAGAACTCTAGGTCTGAAACAGATACAATACTAGTGACCTTCTGTAGTCAAAAAATTAAATGCTATCCTTTTGACCTCTTTCCTCCCATTTACCCTAGCAATTAATAAATAGTCCTTTCTCAAGGTCTTTATTCTAAGTGTCATTATTGAAATCAAGCCTTTGTTCTTTTTTCCTATCTTTTAAAAATATTATTGCTGCTGTTATATCATCATCATCATCATCATCATCATCATTGCTTGAGATAGGATCTTAGTTTATAACCCAGACTGGCCAAGATCCTACTATTCACCTATGACTGACTTAAAAACTCTCATAATCCTTTCCCTTAGCCTCACAAATGCTGCAATTATAGATATGAGCCACCACACCCAGATGTCAAACATTTTTCTCACCTCAAAATTAAGTTACTGCAAAAATCACATATGGGCTAGGGAGATGGCTCCGTTGAAAATAGTGCTTGCCTTACGAGCACAAGTCCTGAGTGCAATCCCTAGACCCCACAATTAAAAAAAGAACAAAAAGCCCCCAAAACATAGATCTCGTGGCATATACTTACAATCCTAGTGTTGAGGAGGTAGAGATACTCAGATCCCTGGGGATTGCTGGCCAGTTACCCTAGACTATTGGCGTATTCCAGAACTGTGAGAGAGCCTGACTTTAAAAAAAGGTGGACAGCACCTAGGAACAATACCAAAGCTGTCCTCTGGCCTCTATACTCCACATGCACGAACATACACTGGTCTATCCATATCTTTGAATTCACTCTCAGCCGTACTGCCATGCTATCATCATTTGATCCTTTTTGGTGCCCCTAAGAATTAGGTTCTAGAATTCTAAGTTCTTTCAGCTCTAAAGGAATAAATCATTATATTAATAATAATCATCTTATATATTCCGTAACTGTCTATCAGTACTTTTCTCATTGCTGTGACCAGATACCTGACAAGCCTCAAATTCTGGCTCATGGTTTGAGGGGATAGGTCCCTCCCAGAGGGAAGGCATGGCAGTGGGAAACTCTACGGCAGCAGGAGTGAAGAAGGTGCTTGCTAACATCTCAGTGTGTGTCTGTGTAAGTATACTTGTATGCAGGTGCCCATGGAGGCCAGAAGAGAGTGTGCAATACCCTGGAGTTGGAATTACAGGTAGTTGTAGACTGCCTAACATGGGTGCTGGGAAATAAACTTGATTCCTTTAGAAGAGCAGCAAGCACTCTTAACTGCTGAGTCATCTCTCCAGCCCTATAGCTGTATTTATTAATACTATTTACAAAGGTGTTGTTTATACATTGGGAAGTGAAAGGTAATGGACTTAAGAAAAGTCAACAGCTGGAGAGGTGGCTCAGTGGTTAAGAACACATACTGCTTTTGCTGAGAACCCAAGTTCAATTCCTAGCCCCCAAGTCAAGTGGCTCACAAATGCCTGTTATCTCCAGCTAGAGGGGATCCAATACCTTCTTCTGGTCTCTGTGAACACATACCGCCCCCCCACAGATACATATATACACACACATAATTAAAATACAATTTTAGAAAAGAATAGGATTCAATTTCCTACCATGTGACCACATCATAGAGCATCTTGAGTAAGGTAATTTAATTTCAGAGCAGCTCATAGAAGGATTTATTGATAATCTCTAGGACTCCTGGAGTTTAGTTAAGTTTACCTGACAAAGTAACTTAATACCCCAAATCACTTTCAATACTGAATAATCTTTTATACATATGTGCATCACTGCAACATTAAGAGCAAGCAATATGTAAAAAACCAACAACAACAAAAAACCCCACAAACCCCACACCAACTCTATGATTATCTGTAAAAAGAATACTATCAGTACATGCCCTTACCTTAGCAAAAAGGTGGTCCCTATATTGCTGCTGAGTAACAAAATTTTCAGAACACACTACACAAGCAAAGGAATTGGCAGGAGGTCCACGTAACGTAATTGTTGGATCACATGGGGAGTGATCAAACCTACTCAACAAAAGAGAAGTAACATTAGAAAGACCTACAATCCAGGAGATAAATTAATTTGCTTTGTTTGTGAAGCTGAACTATGCACACATAGGCAAGCAAAACATTTTGCACTTCATCTTGAGACATGTGAAGGACAATGGCTGGAAGTCCCAAACTCAATTTCTCATCTTTATGATATGAAAAGGAGACTAGGGAAGAACCTCTGCTTTCTCATGCTCTGCTGGAAAAAGCTCAGCAAATTTAAATGGGCTTCACAGTAGAATAATTTACTTGTGAGTTCTGCCTTTAATAGTTATTTTGGAATGCTATATTAGATTATGTAGGCTAGAACAAATATCTGTAAATGTTCTATGTCTCTTAGAAATTACATTCTTGGTCTGGATTTCACTAAAACTAATCCAACTGTATTGCAAAGTCAGAAAAATCTAACTTTACCTAGTTTTCTAGAAAACCTAAATATAAGTTAGAAATACAGCACAAACAACACATCTTGAGTTTCCAATATTAAAACCCCAACCATATTATTAAAGGTGTGTCATTCTTTCATTTAACAAAATCATTCGAGGATTGTTAGCCTAGTATACATATATAAGACCCTGAATTTGATGCCCAACACCACTGAAAAAAAAAAAATCACTTTAAAACTTACCCATCTTCAGCATCTAATGTCCTGAATACCCCATTTACCTTTTCAAATGTCCTAGGAGAAGGTGCCCATTGTCAAATTCCTTGTTACAGTGCATTATTGGACATGAAATTGACTTCTCAGACTTCCGCACTCGGCCTCCACTTTGGAATGAATTTTTTGTTCCAGAATTAATTGTGCCTGTTTTGAGCCCTACATTATCAGAATACAAATTCTTAAGTTACCATTTCAGATACTTGTGTACTAGGCTGATAATCAGAATAAGGACAAAACAACAGAAATTAAGACAGAGCATCAAGTGGGTGGCCCTACTGATAATTAGGTATTCACAATGTTTCTTTTAGCAGATTATAACCTAAAAGTAAATAAAATTATTTTGACATGGAGAAACACACACACACACACACACACACACACACACACACACACACACACACAAAATCACAGCCCTACTCCTTCACCTACTCCTTCATTTACCTATGATGGTAAAGATCTTTTCCTTGAATTCTATGATGGTAAAGATCTTTTCCTTGAATTCTTATTTTCCCTTTTACCTATCTTAAACTCTTCAACTGTTGAATATACTAACTAAATCGTCTCTCCAGATCCTAAAACAAAATTTCAATACCTTATAATCTTACTAGAATGGAACAAGATAGACACACTGTGCCTTAAGGCTTCCAAGAAGCTCAATATAGTATAGACACACTGTGCCTTAAGGCTTCCAAGAAGCTCAATAACCAAAATTCTCTGAAGAATACCTGACATTTTTAGCCACTGGTCCACACACAGTCTTGCTGCTTCTGTATCAGAATGTCCTTGAATAAATTCCAGTTCTTGCAAACCATGAGCATGCTGAAAATCAATTTTTTCCTAAAGATAACAAGAAAAACTTCAGTTATAATTACCACCCAGTTTCTCAGGGGGAAAGATTTTTGATACATTAGTGATAAGAAAATATTATTCTTTACCCCAAGAACTCCACATCCAGAAATCTATACCAAAGATAATACATACATTTGGCAAAATGAAATCTCATGGGATAGAGATATGGCTCAGCAATTAAGAGCACTGGCTGCTCTTACAGAGGACCCTGGTTCGAATCCGAGCACCCACATGGCAGCTAACAACCATCTGTAACTCCAGTTCCAGGGGATCCCAGGTCTTCTTGTGATCTCTGTGGGCACAGCCAGTCAATCTAGACTAATTCATGAGCTCCAGACAGTAAGAAACTCTGTCTGAAAACACAAGGTAGATGGCTCCTGAGGAATACCACCCAAGGTTGACCTCTGGCTTCCAGAGAGGTCACACAAACTTCTTTTTAATGAACCCATCAGTAATTTACAAATAATCAGAAGACATTTTCTGTATGTGTTTTAGCTAGAATAATCACTCACTAGAATTCTTAAAAATTCTACTTAAGTTTCATTACTTTCCTTCCTGGGAAATCCCTTTACAATTTTGTTATAAATAGTTCTATAATTAATAAGCTTCAATTAAAATTGACAAACCCTGAATGCTCTATTCTTTTCTTCTTTTTGCTGTTTTTCTACTTCAACATGGCGGGCCAGGCGAGCCAAAGTTAAAGCAACTTTATCCTTCTGATGGTCAACATAGTCTTTGTGTTTATAATTCTCCTATAGTAGAAAAAACAAATTTCATGCCTTTTAAATACAAAACTAACACTTGGCCAATATACATTCACTGATCGAACAGCTATTATATTAAAAAATCAACCGCTATCTGATTGGATTTAAAGGCCCTTCAATGGGAGGGAACTCATGGGTACCACTGTAAATACAGCGAAATACACAAGGCTGGAGATGTCATAGATCCTAGAGAAAGCCCTATCTCTGTCATATCTATAGAAAAATGAAATTTCTTACTGTATACTAAATATGGATCTTTATATTTGATAAGTACACCACTCATCAAAGAAGCTTATTTTTGCAACATTTGGAGGCTATTACAGAGTTCCACATAGAGAATATATGTCTAAGAGATGCCCAGCCCTAAGTGACACATCTACAGTGGAACCGCTACACCTAAGGCTCATGGAACACAGCAGAACAGGAGGTAGAGAGAACACTAATACATCCCCCAACCCTCACCAGCAAAGATTCCTCATACAAGAAAGTGTGAGGTACACAGAATACAACTGCCCAAGTTTTTAGAGAACAAGACTGTAGAGTGAGCAACTGTAAGCAATTTCAATTCTCCTACAATACGAAATGAGAGTTAGTGGTATCTTATGCCAAAATTTATCTGGTGACAAATAGCTACTTTCATATCAAACAACAAAATATTTTCTAATCAAGCATTCAAATTTATGCCTCCATATGTGTGTCAATAGTAGGAAGTGGGATTTCTGTGTCTGAATAATTCCTCATGTATAATAACAACATGACTATTCTGGAAACAGGAAAGCAGTGACTATAACCCACAAGGATCTCCCCTTGAGCTTAAGACTTTCACTATTAACTTTTTCCTAGACCACAACAAATCACTTTTGAATTGCTAAGTTGTTACAAAGTTTAAAGCATAAAGCTAAATGAAAATTTACAACAGGAGCACAGTAATTATATCTCCAATGAGAAGGTTTAGTATTGTTATTTGTAAAATATAAGCATGTCCCCCCAACTTTACCTCTTTCAGAACAAATTCATGCTAATTTATCTAGCCCTTTATGCAACATTTAAACATCTGTTTAAATCTCAACACTATTCTAAAATGAATCTATAGCCTTTTCTCATTTTTTTTTTTTTTTAAGACAGGGTGTCTCTGACCTTGATCTTATAGAGATCTGCCTACCTCTGCCTCCGGAGTGCTGGGATCAAAGACATGCAACACCATGCCCGACTTTGAAAATGTTTTTTTAAACAGACATGTATTTATGTATGCATGTATTTATAGTGTGCTCAGTGATGATTTAACAGATGCATACAATGTGCAATGATTAAATCAGGACAATTAGCATATCCAATTCTTTAAATGTTAACCATAACCACTAGCTGTTGAAAGTAAATAATAAGGAAAATTTACTGGGATTATTAATTTACTAAAAATTAGCTTCTACTGAGTTATCCAGAACCTACATTGCCTTTATTTTGTTTATATCTAAAAATAAAAGCTGCTTCTCTTCCTAATTCTTCTCACTTGTTCATCTTTTGTCATTTTAAACAGCTGAAAAGATCCATAAACAGCTTCTGCTTTAAAGACAGCTTCTATTTCCTTTTTTATGTAGTACTTTAGTGCATGTGTATGGTATACATGTATGTGTATGTGGTACATATTTGTGTATATAAATATGTGCAGGTGTTCTTTCTCATGTGTATGCATGTGGAGGTCAGAGGTGGACCTCATGCATCTTCCTCAACTGCTTTACACACCTTTTTGTTCTGGACAACTTCATACAGGTATACACAACTCATGACCTGCTCTTATCTCCCTCCACTGCTTATCCCAACTAGTCCTTCTCCTACTTTCATGGTCTTTGTCTGTTTGTGACTCAGTACAGAGATCTGCCTGTGATCCTTGCTGGGATTAAAGGCATGTCCCAAGCTATCTTGCCCTATTTTCTTCTTTAAAATAAAATAAACAAATAAAATAGCAGATTCAAGAGACTCTACTAGAAACCTGGGGAAATGATAGTAACTAAAGAAAGTGAGCACTTTATTAAACTTTGAAACCTTTGCCAATTTTGAAGTTAGCAATTTTAAAATGAGAACAGATTTTTAAAGATTTTCTGTAACCTCAAGGAGAATAAGTATATAAGGCAGAGGATAACAGTTACAAGGCATTTTTCCATCACAATCTTGTGTTTGAGGGTTCAGAGGTATCGTTTACGGCTGAAGGCACAGCACAGTGGTAAAGCATTTGCCACATGTGCGAGACTCTGGCTTCAATAACCAGAACCTCAATACAAAACAAAGCAAGTTGTTGATTGAAGCCAGGCACAAGTAAGTGACAGTATGAATAAACGTTATTACTCTCTCTAGAAAGCCAGCTCCCTTAGATTTCCACTGCTAGGGATATACCATGAGAAGTGGCCACTATATCTCACTGAATTATAGTCTTCTATGGTTCTAGAATATACTGGCACTGGAAAAGCATTGATTACAAAGTTTACCCATAGATCACAGAAACTTTTGCACAGACAGCAGTATAGCAGTTATCCAAAGAACCAAAGAACTAGAAACAAACTTTAAATTATCAGAATGCCAGGGAAAGAAAACTTACCATCACCTGGTTACCAACTATGATGGTTTGGTCTTCACTGTCAACCTGATTGGATTAAGAATCACCATGGGAACACTGAGCCTGTTTCCAGAAAGGCTTAACTGTTCATCCTCAGGTTCTAACTGAGGATACAATATGACAGCTGCCTCATGCTCTTGCTCAAACAGTGAATCAAAAATAATCCTTCCCTTAAGTTGCTTTTGTCAGGTACTTTGCTACAACAATGAGAAAAGTACTGCTGTATTAATAGTCCAACTTCAGAAACAAATGTACTGGTAGTCAGGAATCTGAGTTGAAAGTGAGTTACTTTCAGGATAGATGAAGTATCTTAAATGTTTCCTATAGAACTACAATAAAGGGGGCTACATAACTCTTAGGATTGGGAACGTCTATTATTCACTAATGCCAAAATACTGAGTTCAATATAATACAAAGTCATACAATTACAGAACTGCTTACACTGTTTGCTACATTTGCCACAGGCTAGTGCTTGAATTTTCACTTTTATGTTCTTAGAGTTTTTCTAAGACCAGGTTTTCAAATGTCTAACTTACCAAGCTCAAACTAGACTGGATCTGAATCCATGGTAAGAACAGGTTTTAAGTTTCATTTCGAGATTAGTAGTTATAGTATTTCTAAGAAAATCCTTCTTGAAATACCATGGTCACTTTAGACTAACTTCTTTCTAAGATATACAGTAAAACTAAAGAATCTTTACTGACAAGTTAGTTTCTGTGAGAAGCATAAGAAAAACCTTAGGAAAAATACTGGCTAGAGGGGCTGGAGAGATGGCTCAGAGGTTAAGAGCATTGACTGCTCTTGCAGAGGACCCGGGTTCGATTCCCAGCACTCACACGGCAGCTACGAACCGTCCTTAACTCCAGTTCCAGGGGAATCCGAAGCCCTCTTCTGACCTTTGTAGCAATGCACGACACAGGTGCACTCACATACATGCAGGCAATACACTCATACACATAAAAATAAATAAATAAATAAATAAATAAATAAATAAATAAATAAATAAAATACTGGTGAGAAAGAATCTGTATGTTCTTATAGGTAGGTAGGTAAAAGATGATACACTTCCCCCAGTACTGGGGGCTGAATCAAGGCCCTTGTGTTAGGTAAATGCTCTACTACAAAGCTATACCCAAGCCCTCTTTTATTATTATTTTGAAACACAGTCTCACTGTTGCCCAAGCTAGCCTAAAACTTGCAATCTTCCTGCCTCAGCCTTCTGAGTAACTGAGACTACAGACAAGTACCAACTATACTTGGATTATCTCTATTCTGGACCACTCTCTGCAGTTTTCTTCCATATCCACAACAGTACAGAATTAAGAAAGGCAATCAATATAAGGACGTGAGGTTTAAAGGCAAATACTTGTTAGGTCGCTATGAAATTCTTACCTTCTCAAATATATTTCCTCACATTTTGTTATTAAGAGAATCTCTTGAAGGCCAGGCTGGCCTGTAACTTTTATGCAGCCAAGGATAACCCAAAATTGCCAATTCTTCTGCCTCCACCTCCCAAGTACCGGTACTCCAGGTCTGAGCTAACTTCTTTACATGATCATTTTAAACCTGAGGTAAAACATGTGCAAAGCAAATCTGGGTGTCCTAGAAATGGCAATCAGATTCAGGACACTAGTCAACCTGACTATATATGTCTATAGAATTCAAGCATACATAGGTGCCAGAATTTTTATTCCAAAGAATGTCTGAAATCTCAGCACTTGGGAAGTGGAAGAGAGATCTCAAGTTCAAGGCCACTTCTGTCCATGTAGTGAGCTTGAGGCCAGCACAGGCTATATGAGACCATGAAGTAGAACAATTAGTTAGTATCCACAAGTCTCGGGGTTTACTCCTTAGCACGGGGCGGGGGGGGGAGGTTTAGCCTTTACTATAGTTTTGTAGGAGTTATAGCAAAAACTCCAAGTCTAGAGTCTAGAAACATGGCATGACCTGGGAAGGAAAGGAAAAGTACTCAGTTATGACACCTATACTTGAACACTATCCTTTTGCTTTTGTTGTAGAACAATAACCATTTCACCAAAAACCAGGTCATACTATGAACTTAAATTCTGAATTCTGATGGTAAGAGATCATCCATTAGTACTCACTTCCAATAAGAATTCTATTTTGACAAAATTTTCACTGAAAGAATTAATGTTTTCATTTGCTAATCAAATTTAATGCACAAGGATTTCCTAGAAACCATTAAAATATGTAATACTGCTATGAAATTGTGATCTGCTACATGAAACTGTACAAGTAAAATCGTAAAATAGGCAAGCCAATGACATAACACAAAAATCCTAATCAAACTTGTATTTCAGTATCTTCTCTCTCTTCTCTCTCTAATCAAGCTTGTATTTCAGTATCCTCTCTCTCTCTC